CAATTTTTATTTTCTTTTATGTCTTGGCATCTCAATGTAATATATAAACAAATCACTTGCTGATTTGAGTGCTTGTTTGAAATAAAATTAGTTTAAAAGATATTTCTTCACTTTTCAGTCTTTCTTCTTAGAAATTCACAGAGTTCCTTGAACTCTCTTATTGTTTTGATTATTGGTCAATCCAATCAGACTTGTAAAAGAAATCGTGGTAAATAGAAACTACCATCTGAAAGCAATCATCATGGCCAATGAGGAGTTAATAACCCTTGGCCTTTTCGAGTTCAACACATTCTAGAACCATCAGTGGCATTTATTAAGAGATTTAGAGGGATGTAAGCCATGTGTGTATCTGAGTACAAAAGAAATTCAACCTTGTTTTCATTTTAATCAAATTGTATATTATATAATTTGAAGCTCAAAAAGGTTTGCGCGGATCTTTGACATCAGGTCAGTTTGCTTGTTACGTTGGTATTCACAATCTTGACAAACCTTGTAAAAACAATTAAATAAATGCAGACTTATCTGTGAAATAATGGCTCAAGTCTGAAAATTGAAAACACATCACCTTGAAAATGTCATGTTTGACGTTGACTAAAGTGTTAAACCAATTTTTGGCTTGAATGTCTTGGTTAAAATTAAATTCAGACCTGTCCTCTGGGCTAGAAAAAGTCAAATAATCAACATGTTTCTGCTAAATACAAACACAACCTTAAGCAGCACAGCAGAGATATCCATACAGGCCTCATGTCTTTCTTTACTTATCCATTTATAAAGATAGCTCTTTTTTCCCACCTTCAGTTCTTACAGAAGAAGTCATTAAAACTTAATTTCACCATCTTTGCTCTTTTGTCGTCTGCAGAACAGAACAAATCAAACAGATGAAAGGTTTCATAATTCATTTTAAGAAACAAGGGTAAGCCTAGAAAAAGTACCAACTCCAAAGTGCTGGCTTCACTCTATATTTCCTGACAATGACTCAAAACATAGTAAAAGGTCAGCAGCTTGTCTCTTCTGTTCCTGTATTCATTCTTCCAGCTGTGTAGGCTTGCTGCTGACTGTTGCATTTGGTGTCAGTTCTCCCAAACCCTTAAGCTAGTTTATGTGTTGAACAACCTCGAATGGTTGCAGCCTGATTTGTGCATAAGCCAAACAAAGCTACAGCAATGCAGCTAATGTAGGAGACCTATAAATGATAACATTTGCATAGCTGCAATGTTGTTTCAACTCTAAACAATCAGGATGCAGGCTAAATATGACTTATGGGTTGATGATCGGTCAATATTGGATGCAACAATTAGAATAATTCGGCTGCAAAAGCTAAACTTAATCTGAATCAGGGATAAAGCTGACAGCATTGTAGGAAAACTTGAACAGGAATTAACGATTTTGTTCTCACCTCAGGTAGTCTCTGCGGCAGAGGATAAGGTTTGCCCGGGTGTACAGGGTGGAGCCCACCCTGCCCAGCCGGCAGTCACAACAGGCACACTTCAGACAGTCCTCATGCCAGAACCTGTCTAACGCCTGCAGCATGAAGCGGTCCCGGATCTTCCCATTACAGCCAGCGCAGCCTCTTGGCTTCTCTCTGGACTGCAGAGGAACGACAGACACACCTGAAATGAAACAGAAAGAATTACCAAAGTTGTAATTTTATTAAGGTCCTGTTTCTAAGCAGCATGATTATACACATCGGTAACGCTATTTTTCTATTCCCCTGTTTAAACATTCCATAAAACCTGCTAAAAAAAAAAAAGATTTTCCTTCTAGTAATATAATTTTAAGGATTTTGCAAAAGCAACAAATTCATTTGCAGAAAAATGAGTATGCACAATTATTTGTATTCCTTTGATTTGATTTTTAAGTAACAGACAAGCACAAATTAGCAGCTAATTCATATTTACATTTGAAAATCTAAAGGTGGGGCATGCATAATTTTCAGCAGCCCAATTTTTTTGATTCCGCTTAATAAAGTTAACTTGACTACAAGAGCAAATGTGGAAGAATCTGTCGTTAGTATCATTATTGCTTTTAGGCTTTAAATATTTGATTCTTAAAGGACGCCTGATTTAAATCGCCATACTTCACTCTTCACTTGATCCCCATGGTGATCATGGTGGTGGTAGCATCATGGTGAGGGGAGGCTTTATTTCTGCAGGGACAGCATGAAAATTCTGAAGGAAACCCTAATAGGTAATAAACCATTCACACACACCTAAGGACAATTTAGAGGAGCCAATTAACATAAAAGTAATGTTTTTGGACTGTGGGAGGAAGCTGTGCTACCCAGAGAGAACCCAAGCCTGCACAGGGAGAACATGCTAACTCCATGTAGAAAGACCCCAGGCTGGGAATCAAACCTGGAACCTCCTTGCTGCAAGGCAGTAGTGCAGGACAACAACCCTGAGAAGCAGACATGTCAAAGCATTTCCATCTGTTACAGTGGCCTGGTCAGTGTGCAGACCTGAAAAGTGATCTAGACAGTTGTTCTCCCTGTTTCACTGAACTTCAGTTATTTGCAAAGAAGAATGAGGGGGGGATTTAAGTCTCCAGATGTGTAAAGCTGGTAGAGATCCCACCCCTTCACCTGTTGATTAATAATCCCATGCCTCACTCTTCTTTGTTTTATGCTATTTGTATTGGACAAAACAAAAACATGGAACTGCCTGTGAAATCAAAGGACTATGTAAATATAATGAACTCCAGTACATTCCAGTAAAGTTCTTCATACAAAAACAAAACTTTGGGGACATTTGAATCAACAAATAAACCAAGTGCTTTAGATTAAAAAACAAAAATACCTTTTAACTCATCTGAGGATTTAGTTATTCAACTTAAGATCACCAGTAGCCTACATCTCTATACTTACTCTCCTCCTTGTCCAGAACCATCCTCCTTCAGGGTAAAAAAAAAAAAGGGCTAAAATCCAGGAAGAACAGAAGAACTACTCTTCCTTCTCTTCTGCCTGCTTAAATAACAGCGATAATCACCACATGCAGCCTGGAAGCCTAAATGAGCACGATCAGCCTGGAGTCGCTCAAACTTCGGATCTGCTCCTCATTGTCTCCGAAGAAAGGATCGCTCAGTCTCTTTCTTCTCTGTATATATATATATATATATATAAAAAAAAAGAATTAAAAAAAGGAAAAGAAAAAATGAGCCCTTGGATGGATGACAGATGACGTTCTGGAGTATCACCTTCTCAGGAGGGGGGAGATGTCCTGAAATGTGGAGCGCTCTGCAGGCTGATGTCAGTGTTTAAGTATGTCTGTATCTGCGCTCCCTTTGCTGCTCAGAGGCTTTCTGCACAGACCGAGCCTCTGGCTCTGCAAACATACCTCCCTCCCTCCCTCCCTCTCTCTCTCTCTTCCTCCCTCTCTCCCTACATCCCCTATGCAAAAAAAGAAAGGAAAAAAAAAAACTTCCAATAGTCAAATGTTTTTTTTTTTTCAGCTCCTGTGTCCTAATTATATAAAGTCATTATGCTTAGATCTGATAGGCACCGCCCCTCCCTCTTGGAATCAATTATTCAATACACAGTGACACACACCGGGACAGCCCAGGCCTGAGATGTTTTAGAATGAGCTTATTCTACTCCAAGGACACCAATTATCTCCGGGCCGCCCTGGAGTCAAAAGCCGGGGCTCTTTACGCACAACAGATGCACAGCGGCTGCGCGTGCACGTGCGTGCACACCTATATACCTGTCCAACTTATTCATTTATGTCTTATTTTTTCGCAATAAGGTTTCAATTTCTTCTTCATACCCCCTTTCAGTCCTCTGGCTTTATATACCGAGGTTTATTTTGTTTCTATTTATGTCCAGGTGAATATATTTTATTTATTTATTTATTGCATATTGGAGATTAGAGTCTCTTTTTGTGTGTGTTTGGTTGTTTATTTATTTATTTATTTATTTTTAGGTTGACTTATTTATTGCTGTTTGTCAAAATAGTTTCAAATTATCTGAAATAAATTCACTCATTCATTCATTTAATTTGTTCCTTCTCTTTTCATATAAATAGTCTGTGATGGAAGTTTTATAAAGTTGTATGTTTTATAGATTCATCAGGAATTATGTATGGGAAAATAACAGTTTTACACATACAAGGAATTTGTTTTGGTGAAGAGCGGGGGCGGAGCTAGATGGGGGGCCAGTGGTGGCCATGGATTTAAGTCACAAGCAGTTCCTCTCCAGAACAGAGAGTGGCAGCAGCAATATTTTAAAATTTAAAGTTTTAGCAAGTTTTATATTTAAATTCTTTATATATACACAAAAAATGATAATAAAAAAAACAACAACAGTTAATTACTCACCTCAATATAATTACATTTAAAATAATAAATACAGATTCCCTGCTCTTTTCTAAGCTGGTTTTGGGGTTTTATAAGAGAGAAGAGAAAGGATTTGTGTCTGCTAGTCATCTAGGAATCTTATATGTAATGAATGTATATTTGTGAAATAAACTCCGGGCTATATTTTTTCATAAACTCATGAGACAGCTTTTTGACGCTGTCACCCATTTTCAAAGTTTACAGTGAACGCTGGAGCTTTTGAAAACAGGAATAATTTTACACATAAACATAGAAGTGTTCATGCACAGCAAGAGTGGCCAAATAGATAAGATGATCCACTATATCCTATCCACTATACCTTTAATTTGGAGAGCATGGATGAATAAATGTATACTTTTATTAATTAGAAAGGACTGTAAAAAAAATCTAGATTGTCTGCCGGTGATAAAGTGCCACAGATACACAAATATATCAGCAAACATTTATCTGGTTCAGACCACAGTTATTATCTACAGTATAAAGGAGGATTTGAAGTGATATTTGAAATATTGTGAGAGGAAAAATCTTTTACACCCATCCTGCTTCCATGGGGTTTTAGAGGGGAAGGGAGCATGGTGCTGCTTAGAAAATCAACTTTTTAATTGTTGCTCATTTTTAAGCTTTACCACCTGTAAAACTATGAGTGTTGGCTGTTTGCTTCTGGGATACAGATGTCATGGCAAGAGGGGAAGAATTTAGCTATTATTTATAGAGTTTAATTGCAAATGGTTTCAAGACCATTTTTTACAATGAAACATGAAAAGTAGTTTATTTACAAGTGGAAAGCATTTGGGGTGGACCCCAAACTAACGAGGAGTAGGCCCCTAAGCAAATTCACATCATCAGATTGTGAAATGCTCTGACAGATGGAAAAACCCCAAAGGATTTATCTCAAATCAGGTTTCAGTTGGCTGGATCAACGCTAAATGTTAAGACCAGGTCAAAAGATAAATGTGTTTGTTCTGGAAGGGTAACCATGAGAAAGCCTTCTTCCTCTAGAATTAATGAGTTAGTATGATCATGTCCTCTGGATAAATGAGAACAAATTAAAGAATCCTTTATATATGTAACATACCAGGTAGTTCTTGGCTTGATGGCGAAGAACAATATTTAAGCACCTGATACCAACCTCTAGGCACAGTGGTGCCGGGATGATGGTTTGGGCTCTTTAGTCATATGACTTGGGAACCTTACAGTCTTTGAGTAAACCATGGATTCTTCTGTTAACCAGAGCTTTTCAATATCAACTCACTCTGAACTGAAGCTTGTCCAAAAAGCTGCAGCTCCACAGATGATTGACTGAACAGTGATGGAACACTTATGTGCACCGCAAAGGTCCTCTATAAGTTTACATCTTGATTTTTTTTCAGATGTTTCTCTGAGGGGTGAAAGTTTTAGACTCTAGAGTATGGAGTGATCCAATATGTTTGTAAGCAGAAGCTGCATTTTGTAAATGGAAACTCCTAATAAAAAAGGAAACTGCTGTCATTTCAGATACTTTTTTTTTAAGATTTTATTTTTCACTTTTTCCCTTTTCAAACCTTATTTTTCAATTCTTTTTTTACAGAATTTTTCTATTTTCACCTCTTTATTCAAATTTCTTGTTTTCAGATTAGATTTTAGTAATTGCATTGTTTTGAAATTGTGTTTCATAGATCACATTTTCTACGTAACAAAATGTTGTTTCTAACACCCGGCAGACCAAAAGCAATGCATCTTCGCTCCTCACTCCACACCAATATTAGCATTAAAACAAAATATAAACCAATTTACCTCCCTGATATAGAAGACAATGTTTTTGTGACAAACTAATGAGGACTCTGCCTGCACCGCCAATGGCTTCTATGTTCTTTCAGATTTTTTTTTACTTAGAAGAATGTTGTGTTTTTAAAAAAGTCAACAGGGAAACATATCGGTATCAGTTATCAGCCCATTGAGTTATAACAAATCAACATATTGGATATTGGCCAAAATTGTAACTTCAAGATTAATCACTGCTAATAAAATACTTCCCATATAATGTTATAGTAATTTATTTTTTAAGGCAAAACTGTCAGAATGTAAAAGTTGTTGAGCTAATTTAAAAGATTTATGTTGCATTTTTAATAAGGGGAAACTTTACAGGGGTACAAAGAAAGAAAGAAAGAAAGAAAGAAAGAAAGAAAGAAAGAAAGAAAGAAAGAAAGAAAGAAAGAAAGAAAGAAAGAAAGAAAGAAAGAAAG